TATTATGTAATTTCGTCCAAATTTGAACTTAAAATGACTATAAAAATAAACTGTGCTTGTGTATTTTTTAGATTTTTTGGTAACAGAATTAACTACTTACCTGTACTCTTGTTTTAAATTTTCAATCCTTAAATATAAAAGTTGAACATTTTTTAAATTTTTGAATACAAAATAATTATTCAATTTTAAATTTGGTAAATGTTGTCAAAATTCTATCTTTAAATGATTAAAAAAAATAAATAGTGCTTATGTATTTTTAATATTTTCAAACTGATATTGTAACAATATATCAGGAGCCTTGTATTCAATTTTTATACTTTTTGGCCCAACAGATAAAACCTTATTGATATTTATAGAAAAAAAAACTAAAAAAAATGAAAACTAAAAATAACGTCAACAGCTCAAAAAGAGTTAAAATATTTTCAAAATTGTATGGTGTATAGGAAATGCTTATATAAACATTCAGTGAAATTTTCATGTATCTAAATAATAATATTCGCTACATGAGAAATCGAGCGAATATCCATTGTAAAAATTTGAATTTCATAAAAATTTAATTTGACATTTTTCTTTTGATAAAGGTAGATAATCATATAAGGAATCTTGTAGTACATTTAAAAATAAAACTTTTACGAGTTCTAAACTCAAAATAATTTGTTAATTTTTGTGATTTTTCCATATTTTGTCAATTCTTGAACTTTAAATGCTTATAAAGAAAAACAATGACTAAGGATTTTTAATATTTTTCATCTGCCTTTGAAATAATTTACTAGGAACCTTATAATAAATTGTCAAGCTTTTTGAACCGACAAATAAAATTGTATTGATAGTTTTAGAAAATAAACTAAAAAAAAGTGGAAAATGAAAAAGTTCCTAAACAGTTCTGTAATGATATGCTCACACACCATTATAATAAACTAAAATCTTACAGAATACCTAATAAATAACGGCCAGACTGTCGTTTGTAGAAATCGGTCACATCAAATAAAACCATTATTAACGACAACTAAGATATCGGCACGCACTCATAACGGTAAAACGCAGGGTGTGTGACTTTATTATATGATGCCGCCAGAGAAAAGGAAAGGGAAAAAAGGGTATCTGCCGCCAAATTATAATCTAGTTCCCAAGCTCACGATAACCTTTTGATAAAGCCGCCTACCATTCTCTGGTCAGCAGCTTCGCTTCATCCCTTAAATCAGTGCATGAGCATAATTCACCGAGTAACAACCTCCAAAAAAAAGTCTAAAAAAACCGATTTTAACGAGCGACATTCTGGACTCCTTATGTGAGCAATAATCAGTGCGTTTATTATTTCGATTTATAATTTAAAAAATGTTACTCTGTGTCTATTAAAACCCTTACAAGATAATTCACAAACGACTGCGGATCAGGTAAGGCAATTAATATAATATTTTATATTAATTGCATTTATTATATTATCTGTGCATGTTTTATATACAATTGTGGTATATAGTGTATTTGATCTAATTCTCAAAAACACGATCTCGAGAGCCCTCCGAGTACCTGGAGGAAAGTAATTGCTTAGTTTTACGATTTTAATATATTTATCGACAGGAGTCGTTTATATTTTATATCGTTATTTTTGAGTTATTACAGTTTAAAACAAATCATAATATTTTGAAAATTGTATCGTGTATAGAAATACCAAATAAAAATAAACAGTGAAAAAGTCATTTATTTGCATTAATTTGTTTTAGAGTCCTGAGCAATCCTACGACTGGAGCAATGGAAAAAAGCAATGGAAAAAAGCCACAAGTAAACCACCAGAACGAGATACCTCAGACAGACCAATATCGCTGCTCCCAAGAATTTAGATGCTATTTGAAGTGCTTTTTCTTAAATGTATAAAACCACTTATAGAAAAAAAACTCCTCATACTAGACTATCAGTTTGGATTTTGGAATAAAAATTCTACTATTGACAAATTTAATCTTTTCACAAACGTAAAAAGCAAGGCATTGGAAAAAAAAAAAATATTTTTGCGGATTATTACTCCGCTTTTTTGAATGATTAGGCTCTCTCCAGGTGATCGACCGGGAGTTCTTCAAACACAGGCCCACACTTTGCCCCCGACTTTGCGCAAACATTTTAAAAATTATTGCAAACAATAAATTGTAAATTAATTGTAAATAATTGTAAGTTACATTTGCAAATTTGTAAATCAACAGAAAACTTAAAAATCAAAAAACAAAATATTTTATATTCCAAAGATTTTAAATTCCATATAGATTTTTTTTATATCGAATATTGAGTTGTATACCAAATTTAGATTTTTTTTCAATCCACCGTACTTTTGTTTTATATTATAAGCATCTAAATTATAAGATCTAAATTGAATAAAAATCTTAGTAATTAAATTTCATAAATAATAAAATAATCTATGTAATGATAAAATTGATAAAAAATCTTTATTTGGTATACAATCAATATTTGATACAAAATCATATTTAATAAAAATCAATATTTGAATACAACTCAATATATGATAAAAAAATTCTATATGGAATATAAAATATTTTGTTTTTTGATTTTTAAGTTTTCTGCTGATTCACAATTAATTTACAATTGTTTACAATTTGTCCGAAGTCGATCGGCCAAATTCGGGGGGCTGCTTGAAATTGGCCATCTACTTTTGGTTTTTCGATTTCTAAGTTTTCTGTTGATTCACAAATTCTCAAATGTGATTTTCAATTATTTACAATTGTTCGCAATAATTTTTAAAATTTTGAAACTATCTTCATGTATGTTGGAGGCCCTGCCGATACCGTGAAGATAATTTTGGAAATACCCTTAATCTGTTAGAGACTGGGTCATGTGGTATGACATTGTGACCCTGAAGACCATCCCGCCTTCCAATCAGATAATGTTTGGAATGAGACGGTGGGTTCAGGGAGCCTTAGCTGTCACCCTCCATCTTCTTTGCAATTCCAAGAACATGGTCTTGCGCTGGCGCGTGTCAGAGGAGGGTCTTCGGGTTGTTCACCTGTGTCCTTGGTCTTAATAATCACCCATTCGGATGCAAAGGGATATTAACAAGTGGCGTCCGAGACGGTCCTGTAAGCTTTGATTGCCTTGAGAACCACGATGTTTGAGACCTTCTCAAGTGGGTTCTAGATTGCTCCAGTGAGACAGGCTGGGGTGGAATACAGAAGTTGGCTCTCGACTACGGTGCTCAGAAGTCTCCTTTTCCACTGACAGGGTCAGCCGATGTTTGAGATCAGCCTGGTCAGTACCGCGGCGTAGTTCTTAGCAACCGTCTAAACGTCTTTACCAAAAGAAAACCTTTCATCGAGGTTGACACCGAGGTATCTCAGATGTTTGCTCAAGGTCATTAGATACTTACCGATTTCTAACCTCGGTGGAGTGTAGGCCCACTCTCTGGTGAACATAACAGCCTTGGTTTTATGTTGGGCCAGATGGACACCGCGGCTTGTCATCCACCCATCAATATTTGCTAGGACCGGATTCAACAGTTCCTCGATCAGCTGTCCAGATTTGGCGACCCTGACCTCTGCAAGATCATCAGCGAAACCCACCAGGTGAGCCCCTACTGGAGCGGCCATTGACAGTAGGTGGTCATATTCCACGTTCCCCAGAGTCGACAGTCCAAGGACTGAACCCTGTTGGACGCCACAAATGACCACCTTGAAAGTCCTTTGGTTACCAATCAATAGCTCCCTATCAGATAACCAAGAACAAACCATGAGCATAAGGTACTCAGGAGTTCATTTTCTCTTCAGTACTTCATGAATTATTGGCCACTGGAGAGTGGTACAGGGGTTCTTCATGTCCAACGTAACCAGCATGCATTTATTTTTTTAATACCAGTTGCCGGCACTAGCTCTGGCTTTATGATGCTTTTAAATTATAGTAGTGAAATCATTAGTTTTTGGGGGGCTATAGAAACTTCAAGGGCGGCTAAAGCCCCCTAGCCCTCCTCCTATTTGCGCCTATGTCTGGCAGAAATGGTGGTTACCATTTCCACAGCGGTTTCAATCGAAATAATTTTTTTGGAATCCAAACTGCTTCCACCGTGGGAGTCTATGTGGGCATCTTGCCTCTGGAGAAGAGAACTTTTCAAAAGTTTTTTCGGAGTGTCCAGCAGTCATATCGGCCAGAATCATAACTTGATAACAAATAAAAAACCGTTTTAAAAATTAAAATTGATCTAACCAGTCCTTCAGTTTTGTCAGGAAATGTTCTCTAAATACAACCTTTTTGTGTATTAACCATTATAATTTTAACTTGCAAAAACACAGCTTCTCTGCATAAGCTGTAGACACTCGTCAGTTGCGTGTCCCTCAAAATTCAAATGTCAATAGCTCAAGTGATCCCACCATACACTGTTTTTTCAGTCTGATTCAGCCACAACTAGACCACTAAGTTCTTCCATGCTAGTCCGGTCAGGATCCTCCAAGCACGGTATCGTTAGATGTAAAGGACCAGCCCCAATAAAGTGGTCTTATTATCCACTGTACTACTGAACATCTGTGCTACCGATGGTCTTTCTTTTCGAGACTTATTAGACAGTGGTCTTCAAGCTAGTTTCTTAAAGAACAAATCTGCTGACATTCTCATGTTTAATCGCCGACGTTCGCCTGTAAATATAACCACGTTTGCCAACACTACTACTCATGTTTGTGAATAATCGATTTTCATTATGACTCCTGCAAACAAACGCCTGCACTTAGTATTGCCACTTTGATTTTACCACACATCACAGGCAAAACCCCTCATATTGCGGTCACTTCTGGACAATGGAAACATTTCCACAACTTGCGCTTAGCTGATCCGTTATATCATATTCCTGGAGAGTGGAGACGTAGATTAGCTTTTGGGTGCCAACATTCTGCCATCCATACTGTGCGACAGTCTCATTTCGGGTAATGCAGGTGTGTGTTTACGCAAGTCGTCGGCAATTCCATGCCATTTTATTCTTATCACACTGTTCTGCGAGTCTACGTTGGATATCGACTTTACGTGCATTTCACCTTACCGTCCAACACGATATCGGCCAGGCTGGCTATCTTCATGAGTGTGACGGCGCACAGGCAACTAGTTGTCATATCTCCATTGTCGTTGGACGTCGTTGCTTTTTGATGTCTGTGAAGACCTCGTGGGTTTCGCGGTTCTTTTTTTTTGTAGCTAAGTTTTATAGCAAATGTCATTGTTTTGTGTCCGAACGTGAGACTACTATACGTTCTCGATCGCATTGTGCGTTTAGCGTCGCCGCCGCCCACCGTACGCCGTTCGCCGATCGCGTTATACGCCGATTAAGCTGTTGAAAGGCGCCGTTGCCATCGCCGCCGACCTATATAATATAGTACTATATGGGCCACACCACCGCAGTCCAGCTGATCTCCCGGAATAGCCTGTCCACCGCCTACTCCGACCACCACCGCTGACCGACACCATCATCGTAATAGAAAAGTCTTTCCTGTATATATCTTATTGAATTATTGTAATATCCGGTAGCTAACTTAGAGACGTCTCCAACCTTTTGTTGTTTGCCGTCTTAAAGGTTAGGAATTAATTAATAATATATTAATATAAATATAATACGTTAAATTTGTATCAATATAATACCCTCCTGTTTATATGTTTGTGTCACCACCTATCACTAGACTCCCGACATTGTGAGTATGTCGTATCAACTACTCATGAAAGAACACGACGTTCGATAACAGTGAGCTTACTAGCGTTAAAAACAATTAAAGATTTGATTCTGTTTGGGCCAACCACTTCAGCTCCCCCTGAGTCACTGATCACAATGAGTGTGTCAACGTCCAACACCCTTGATACAACTCTAAGAAAGTTTTGGAACCTGGGAGAACTTCCTGTCGTTCACGACCTAAGTCCAGATGACAAAGTCGCAGAAGAATTCTACATATCAACACACCACTCGGCTAAGTTCAAGTCGTTCTATGGTTACCCTTCCTTTTCGAAAACCATTTTCTGTGTTAGGTGATTCCAAGTATCATACTTTTCAACGGTACAAGGCCCTTGAGATCCGATTTAGTCGACAACCTGATCTTCATAAACAGTATGTTTATATAAATTTGTCTTCATGTGAGATTACTTGTCAAGTTGGCCCATGGAACATATACCAGTGCATAAGCGTGACAATCCATTGAGTTACTATATACCACACTATTATGTCATACAACCTAACAGCAAGACAACAAAATTGAGTGTTTTATTTAATTATGTCTGCCCGTATTTCAACTGGAGCTTCTCTAAATGAGATTATGTATACGGGTCCAAAGTTACACCCAGATATACAAGTTGTACTGCTCGGCTCTAGTTTCTGGAAGTAGAATGAAACAGACGTATCACCAAATCTTAGTTCAACCTTCAGATCGAGATTATTTGAGAATCCTGTGGCGATTTTTATCCTCGTTTCCTATTGACGAATAACGGCTCTGTACGGCTACGTATGGTACTTCAGCAACACCTTCTCAAGCTCTTTATACAATTACCGGTCAAACTTACACACGTCGTCTGACTCTTTGTCGATTGGTGACGAATGGTTGACGCGAAAGTCGAATAAATGTTTTTATTAATTATTAGATACAAAATAAAGTTGCACAGCATATAATATATGTATACAAATTGACGATGGCACGTGCACGCAACTCGGCGCGACTTGTAGCCTACAAGTTGTTAGTCCAGTAATTGTTTCCTTAGATTCATGGTTAGCAAAATAATGATGGTTATCATAATAATTTATATGAGGTATGAGGAACATAAACATAAGTAATTTTACTATTTTTACTTAAAACTTTAATTCAGAGCCACCCCGATAAAGTATATTGTTGTTGCAGAATTGTAAATTGGGGGTGTGGGGGCATAGCCCCTACGGGTCTGTGTAATGAAATTTAGGTGGTGGTGGTTAACCTCTAGCTTCTATATTTGCCTCATGAAATAAAATAGTTCACGCCGCCACTGCTTGTAGGTACCTATGTAAAAACACGCGACGTAGCTCGAACGAACAAAGAAACTCATGCGGAGAGTTACACAGTCGAGCGTCGGAACAAGAGAGCGAGAGCAAATAAAGGTACTAAATTCGACAATACGGGACAGTTACTACTGTGGTGACTTCGGCGCTTATCACCACTTTGCTCAACTCATTCGCCGTTACCATCCGTTTCTCGGAACTTTTATATTATATTCGTATTTATACAACAACTGTGATTTTTAGTATTTATTGTCTTTGTAATTATATTTATGTTCCTCGCTCAACTCGATCTCGCGTCTCCCATTGGCGACGCCAAGCGACTCGTCCCGCGACGGGTACGACGCGGCCGACCGACCGGCCAGCGTTCTCTTTGCTCACAGCCCTCGACCGAGCCACACGTTTTCGTCCGACTCGCGACATACCCCCGACGCCATGTTTCTCTCGCAACGGCAATCGACTCGAGTAGCGATACGATCTCGACGATCATCGTGCACCTCGACTCGCCCGACCGACCGAACTAATGTCACGACGACGTTCTCGTCTCTCGACGTAGCTCCACGCTCCCTCGTGCATCGAGCACACCGATTCCGTCGACCCACGCGACCAACGACCGTTCGACCGCTCGACCGCTCGACCGCTCGACCATCGAATAATTATGCGTACTGCGTACGCACATTTATGTTCAAGTTTCAATATACGACTTTCGACGCAACCGCGTCAATCAACGACATTGTGTGTTCTTTCATTTAAATAACTAAACTTGTGTACCTAATCCTTCCTGCAACGGAGTCAGCAGCAAAACGAAGCGCATGTTAGGACAGTGCTTTCGCCCCAACCGACGCAGCGTCAACCACGACGATAGGGCAATGCACTTGTACCACACTACTGTAACACCTGGCAACCGGTCTTATCAATTCCCCCCACCCCCGAAATTGCTATTAAATTGCCTAATTTTAATCCTTAAAATATGATGATAATTCCCACCATTTTTAAATAACAATAAAAATATTATTTACGCAATATTATTAAGTTTATTATATATAGTGTAGGTATACTGTTAATTCGTTATCAATATTAACCAAACTCATTAGTAACATTGCTTAGTTATTGCTTGTGCTAACTTTACTAGTAGTTAGTACTTAATTGTATTAGTTTTAACAATCTAAAGATGGTTTCCAAAAAAGTATGGGCTATAAATCATTGTAAAAATGATTTAAGTGGTTAACAGAGCTCAGTTAAAACTCTCTCAACCTAGGTTATCTTTTCAATAATTTCCAAAAGACGTTCATAATATATAAGGACCTGTTTAAATTTAAAAATCACTCTCAAATCATAATACACTAGAATTATTATTATTATTTGTTTATAATATTATTAATTACAGTTCTCAATAATGGGTTAAGATTGCTTACGGGTGTCACGCTCGTCCGTGAAGACATAAAAGCAAAAAAATGGCTATAGTAAATTTGCACCAAAATTGACCCAAAATATATAAAACATGTGTAATTTGCACCATTTTTTTAAAAATGCATTTGTAATTTGCACCAAAATAAGAGTAAGTAATTTGCACCACCCTCAGGTAGTAAGAAATAGGAATTGTAATTTGCACCAAAATTAAAATCGATTATTTTTTCGATACTATACAAAAAAATTTGGTCGATAGTACCAACTTACAAGTTTCTATATCCTAATATAACTTAAGCTTAGTTTTTATCTATAAAATAGCTGAGCGTATATTATTGTAAGCTTATATAAAATATCGTATAATTAAGAATAAAAAAAAAAGTTGGCCTATTAAAATAGTTATATATAAAATTAAAAAAAAAAACAAATGTATACAAAAAAAGTTGGTCAGTTAAAATAATTATATGTAAAATTTAAAAAAAAAACAAATTGAAGGGTCCAATGCAACAACCAGTCAACTCCATTTTTGAGCGAAATCGTTTTATTCATTGATATGATAAAGAATAAAATTATTCACAAATGGGTGCAACAAACGTACTTCTCCGTTAATTATTAAATTAAATATGAGTAAAAACGGAGTTGTCTGATTGTGAATTTAAGCGCAACAAATAGATAACTCCCGGAGTTGTCTGATTGTTACATTTTGTTTACAAGTTTCTCATCATTTTGTTACATTCTTTACATACTACACAAGGATATTCTAACTAAATAAACTTAGTATTTTTCAATCCCTATTTTTAATTGATTTTTGAACTTATAAACTTTCAAAAAACATGATATATTTTGGACAACAACCAGACAACACCTAGTAGTCCTTAACTTCCAATAATTATTGAGCATAATGGAACTTGCATAAAGGTTATTGTCATATTTCATATGATACAACAAGTAATTTATAAATAAATAGTATAAACAAAATTATTCTATAAAATTAATTTGTTCATTAAAACAGTTTATATGCTCTCCTGAAAAATTAATGAAAATGGAGTTGACTGGTTGTTGCATTGGACCCTTCAATTTACCTTTGTTGCATTTTGATATAATTTTATGTTTCACAGTTAATTGAAGATGGAATAATCTGTAAATAATAATTTATAGTTGGAAAAAAGTAAACTTATGTAGGTACATAATATTAATTGCTGTTATACTTCGCTGTTTTAATATTTACAGGTTTTTTGTATTTGTATGCAACTAATGCAATGAATGAAGTTCTTGAAATCAATGTATTATTATACTGGTCTTAAGCAGCTTGAATTTGTTTCGTCCATTGACATGTTTGAGAAGTTATTCGTGGAGTTATATGTAAACTTGATAGTTTTATATACGTATCTGTTTGAAAATCTGTTAGAACTTTAATGAAATTGAAAATTTTTGGGTGTGGATGATAAAACTCTGCGTTAAATTTACTGTGAAAGGATTCACATGCATTCGTTGTATGTGTCGACGAAGATGATGCAACTGCCCAAATATACGGTAGAAATAATGAATTGTTGTCTATATAATTGTCAGTCAAATAGTCAGCAAACATTTGAAATTTTATATCGTGTGGTATTGTTGACATAAGGTCATCAACAAAACATGATCCCATTTCATTAGGATTTAAAAATATTAACCCAAAAATATTATTCAACCATTCACCTTCGGGGGTTTTTTTTATTTTTATATGCTTTACATAGTCCTAAGTTTTGTATTTTCCTGTACCAAGACTGCATTAAGTGAAAACGACATCCAAAAATATTAACATTATTCCAAACTTCTGTTAATGCGATATGAATTGATTCTTCAAAATCGCATATAGGTAACTGTTGTAGGCTTTAATATTAGACCAACATTTTGACATTCAAGTACCAAAATATTTAAAAAAATGTGTATACGTTTGTTTTGTTTTATTTGGTAACAGCGCAAATACAAGAGAAACATAATTATTATTAAAATATCCATGTAAAGTAAAAAGTTGAGTGAATAATTTCGGACAATAATCGAATGTCCCATCAAGATAGATTGTTTCACTTTTGCATAAAAAATCAATGTTTATTTTGCAAGAAAATATAATTATATTTTTATAGTTTGATAAAATAAACGGTTCACCTGTGTGTGTTTTGTTATCCATTGTTAACAGCATTTAATGTACTTCATTCTGTGATACTGGACATTTTGGCAATATCTTCCTCTTCGTATTATATATATTACGTCTTAAATCCGAAATATCCTTAGTAGTGATAACATTGGAATCTGTTGAATTTTGCACTCTATTTCTTAAAATGTTGGCTAGTTTTTCCAGGGTTCGCCGTTTTAAACATTTTGTTTAAAACAATCTGTTTTAAACATGTTTTAAACAATTGAAATTAAACATTGTGTGTTTAAAACAAAATGTTTAAAACAGATTGTTTAAATCATGTTTTTTTACGTTATATGTTTCAAAATGTTTTTTTATAATACTTTTAAAACTTAAAAAAAATAAGTACCACATGTTATTATTTAAATTATTTTTGTAGTAAGTAATAACTAACTAATTATATTAATTATGTTAAATTATAATTCAAATTTATTTTTGTGCTATTGATAATTTAACAGTCCAATTTATTTATTAATTTTAAAAATGCATTCACCTATAGTATATTAGTATATTATTATATAGAACTATTATAGAAGCATAGGCATATACTATACCAATAGTGAAATAAATTTATAAATGACATTTCATAGGATATATTTTTAAGTAAATCAATAATCACATTATTGACTGTTTTGCTATTATGAAAACCATAACATAGTAGCTACTACCTATTGATTGAATGACCACCTTCGAAAAGAAACATTGCAACATAATAACATACATTATTTGTGTTCTATCGTTGTCATAGGCGCACATAGGGGGGTGCTTGGGGGTGCTTAGCACCCCCAAGGTTTAAACTAGCACCCCCAGTTCCCTATGAAATTTATTTCAGTATTTCACCAATCATTAATAAATTATTGTGGCTCGGATTTTTTTTTCCATTACAAATAGACAACAGTTCACGAATTTGCGATTAAAACAGTATTGCATAAATGCACGTTTCAGTGTTTCAGTTGTCGTCAAAATATTAAACAATAAGCAGCAATCATATTATAGAAAATCGTAATTATATCAATGAAAGGTTATAACTTATAACCACTTGATTCATTGCTATTTACAAATTGTATACAAATTTAAAATAATTGCAATGTAATTTATTATAGTATTAGGATTTAGGATGATGTGGGGGCGAAGCCCCCTTCGGTTTTGTGTAACATAAATTATTCCAGCACCCCCCGAATTCACCCCCAATGTGCGCCTATGATCGTTGTACCCACTCGAGTTCTATACTTCTATGTGCAATTTCCCATCGTCCTTGCAAAGTAAATTATAACAATTTTTTTCTTGTTTTAAAACATGTTCAAAACAATTGAAAAAAACAAAACAATAATTTTGTTTAAAACAAAAAAAACAATGGAAATTAATAAAAAACTGTTTTTTTGTTTAAAATGAAAAAAACTGTTTTTTTTCCGAACCCTGGGTTTTTCATATGGTGATTCTCGTGTTTTTATTTTGCACAATTGGTTTAATTTACAAACGTTTAAGTTTTTCTCATCGTGATTTACATGTACACTTTCATCACGGACAATCGTCAAATTTTCACCTGTAGTAAACAATTTTGCTGAACATTTTCCCTGTGTACAACGCCAACGAATTATATTTATAGTTTTTGTTTTATATGCAAAATAAAAAGTATGGTTATCGTATTCTAAAATATCTTATCCGCGATTACTTTTAATTAACTTAACTTCCATATTTCAAGAAAAAAATTAAATACTGCAATACAAAAATGTTACGTTAAATTACGTATTACGACGAAACAGCAAGACTAAACGTATATAGCTTAGTAGGTACCTATTTGATCAAAATAATTAACTAATAATTTACATTATATAAATATATATATAACTCGATATAACGCGATTACGACCGAAAATTTAACGTAAAACGTCAAAATATTACCAGATAAGGTGAAAAATCTCGAAAAATTATTATTGTCATTCGTGTTCATCTAGTCTTGACGTCGAGTAATAACACTATCGATACTAATGATTCTATCGAAAAAATAATCGATTTTAATTTTGGTGCAAATTACAATTCCTATTTCTTACTACCTGAGGGTGGTGCAAATTACATACCCTTATTTTGGTACAAATTACAAACACTACTTTCAACTAACTGGAGCAGTGCAAATTAAAAATCTTTACCACTACTTGACGCCGACCGTGACCGACCGACTAGCGATAACCTTTTTTTCGTATAAAGAAGTTTCCCTTCAATAATAGTTATAACTAATAACAAATAGGTATCTGGTATAGGTAGGTATGTAAACTCTCACTAGGAACGGTACTGCTGTTATCTCCTATGCTACAGATATCGTTGCCTAGTGAGGGTAACCAGTTGGTGCATCGTGCATGATATAAGCAACATGGTATGATCGCAAAAGTTCATATTTGGACCAAGTCCACGCAATACGTCACTTATTACGTCTTACTTATCCGTATTATCATATATTGTCATTAAATTATTATTACTATACACTACTCTACATCACGTGCTTAACGAAAGATCAAAAAGTTACGATCATACCTTGTTTTTATATCATGAGTTGGTGTTTAGCGGCTCAATAGGTAGGTACGTTTTCCCTAACGGTCTGGACGTAGGTCGGCGTCTGACGCGGCCGTTCTGTTCCACTGTTTGACGCTGCAGGGAACCGTAGCTTTAGGCGACTAATGCCGGTCTGAGTTGCGCCTTTTAACTCGTTATTGAATAATATATTAAGTAACATAAATTTTAAATTGTCGAATAAAAGTTAAGTTCCAATCGTAAAAGTGAACAGATTTATTATTTGTTAGATCCTGATAGTAAACATATTATATATGATTTAGCCGATTTAGGTGTATATATAATTTGTCTTATCGTATCGATATGTAGGTATGTTATATACATTAGGTACCTATATATTACTATAGTTAACTAAATTACTTAAGCTACTTTAGCCAACATTTGCAATGTACAAAATATCAAAATAACTAATTTAAAACTGCTTTTATTCGTATCTTTTTTTCTTTTTTCTCTGTTCTCTATTATAAATGTAATGTATTTATGTTTATAATGTTACGCTAATGACCATAGAAGTCAATGCAAAAATTGTACAATTTCAAGACCAATAAAAAAAAAACTTATTTAATATGAATTATAGTTAATTTGTTGTAAGTACTGAAATAAAATAAATAAATTTAAATAAAAAATTTGTTTTTAACTTAGCATTAATCGAACAACTGGAGAAAAAACATACAATCACATAAATATCAGAATTTTATTATTGTTATTATTAACATAAAGGATAAACTAAATCAATATTAAAAAAAAAAAATGGGTATATTATGATTATAAATTAAAAATCAATATTTAAATTAGTAATAACTTAGCTACTTAATATACAACCTAAAATAGTTTAAAGTTGTATATAATAGAGCATAATATAATATAAATACTCAAATGGGTTATACGTGCCCCATACATCATAAATTAAAAAAACACTAGTATATATATTGTAATTTTAAGACAATGTGTATAATTTTGTCACCAATGGTATGCTTGCATATTATATTACTATCATAATAGTATACTAATTACTAACAAGGCAATAAGTAAAAAAAATCAAAAATAATAGCAGAGAAATAAAAATTGATTATCAAAAACATTGACATAATAAATAGGTTAATATTATTTAAAACTAAAATGATAATAATAATAGTTTATGTCCCACATTAATAATAATTTTAGTATAATAATTTAAAATGTGATACCTATAATTAATTTTTATTTGGTTATAAATATTATAATAAACTGTTCTAAAATTTTTTTAAGCTATATTTTATTCTGAAAATCATGAATATTTTCTATGAATTAAGCAGTTTATTTTGTGTGATAAAAATCCACCATACTACTTAATTATTGTCTACTAGTCTACTGTTCTACTACTCTCTATTAAGCCTACTTTCTCACATTGCCAATCCGTCTCTTCTTCATAGCATTGTTTACTCTAGCTAAACCAATTTCTGCTTCTTTTTTGGCTCTGAAATTACTATGTATTTTAGCATTTTGCAATGCTTTCTCACAACTTTTTTCTGCTTTTTCTAACATTCCTAGTTTAAAGTAAGTGTCAGCGAGATTTATATATACCACTGCAAAACTTTTCATGTCATGAAGATGTTGCCCAATTTTCTTTGCCTTTCTAAAGTACAATACTGCTTTGTGAAAATTTCCTCCAGCATGGTATAGGGTTCCTAGAAGATTCAAAAAAATTACATTATTTTCAAACGTTTCGCCATTTAACTTAACATTAATTGCATATGCTCTTTTAAAAGAAATCTTTGCTAATTTAATTTCTTTTTGGCTCATTAAATAACGACCATATGCGTTTAATGTTTTAGCATATAAATCTAAAATGGCTTTGTTTTCAGGATCAATTTTTAACTTTTTCTCCAAATGTTGTAAACAGTATAGGTAACCATATTCAGAATATCTGAAACATTTTTAAATTATAATAATAAAAATCGAAATAATAATAATTAGTTCTTAATTTACAATAGGTCTATAAATAATGTTATAGCTATGGTATGACTAAATACCGGATTTATATTCTCTTAGAACACTGAATACAAATAAAATAACAAATTTAAAAAATCTGATATTTATGAGATTGTATGTTTACATACAAATATATTATTTTTTATTTAAATTTATTTATTTATTTTATTTTAGTACTTAGGTACTTTTAGTACTTTTAGTACCTACAACAAATTAACTATAATTCATATTTATATAAGTTTATGTTTTGTAAAAATTTAGAAACAATATAGAAAACTATCTTCTTCGATGTATTTATTATTAACATGTATCTATAGTAAAAGTAAATTGTATATTGTATTAAAAGATTAAAAGTCCCTATGAGGTTCATTTGATAATATTCTTACTTCTAAATTTGATAATAGGTCAATAATTTGCTTCAATATTAATCATAACTGAGTTAAATGGATTATTTGAAACGTACAATTTGCCAAATTATGGGTTTTAAAGACTGAGACAGTGCTTGCGTGTATAGCGTCCTCTTAATATTTTGTTTTAATAGAATACAATTTTAATGCTAATATTAATATATTTATAAAAAAACGGTAAAATAATCTTATTATATTCTTTTAAAATTTTAAAATATGCAAAAAGAATCATTAAATATCATCATGCTTTAATATGAAGATTATAGACAAAAAACTTTTTCCTACGAACTCAGAATTGAACAAATTGTTCACATTTTGTACCCTCATAAGACTTCATAAATTCAGTAACAATATGTTAAATCATATAAATCCGGTTTTTAATTATAACTTAAGAGTATGCTGTATAACGTACAATATACCAATTTAATTTTTGTTTAATTATATGATGTTATTACATTTAATCATCAAAAAATACTACAAAAGTAAACTTTACAGTTGAATATTACTTTAAGTTATATTTGTATTATACTGCTCATAATTCATAAGTAAATAAAGTAATAAAATATTTTGAGAACATTATTAATTTATAATTGTAATTTAGATAATACTATAAGTACTAATTTCCAACAAGCATATAAAAAATAAATTTATATTTGCATTTTTATCTGGAATATTTAACAATGAAATTTATAATATATAGGTAATATAATAATTACTTGTATTCTTTCTGAATTTCGTAAATTTTAGAAATTTGAAGACCTAAGTGTAGAATGATAAGATCATCTTTTAGGCATCCTTGATCAATCAACCGACAAACAACTTTGGTGAATAAATCTTTTGCCTTTTCATATTCCTTATTCATAAATGCTCCATTTGCTAACACATCATATACATGTGTAATACCATCAACATTCTGTAAATCGTTAGCTATTTTGAGAGCCTCATGTAATGTTTGTTCAAAAGCATTGTAATCGCCATTCTAAAATATACAAAACTATATTAGAACATTATTATTTATTACTTATTTATCATGAATAAATTTAATTATTTTATTAATTCTTAAAATATGTTTACGACATATTCACAATCATGGATAGAATTGTACAGCAGGTCTTTAGTCTTAAATGTACCAAAAAAATCTTCAAAATAATTTTTTATTTTTCTTAATGTGCCTACAAAAGTGTTAAGCAGTGTCGCAGTGAACACTAGAGCACAGACAAGTATCTAAGGATGTAACTCAAGTTCAAAAGAGAAATTTTTATATGATAAAATTAATTCTTTATACTGTTGTTAAATATTATCATCGGTAAGGACAAATCGTAGTAATTTCCAGTGCTGACATTTTTAGTTTATCATTATGTAGATATATTAAATTAAGTAAAACGTAAGTAAATGTAGATAAAACGTACCCTCAATTAAAGCATCCATATTATATTTAATAAGTTTATACTTCATTCATAATAAGAAACGTAAACGTCGGCCGACTTGTGCACAGTATGTACCTACTACACAGCAGGTATATAGATTGATGGCTCAGTGGTTTTGACGTTTGAGTTTCTTATTTTGAATAAAGTATAGACTAGGTGTAAGAATTGATTATAATAAAATTATGCTACCTAAGTATCACTTTTATGAAATGCTCATATTATGTTATTATACTTATTAAAAATTTGTGAGTAAAACACATAGGTATTGTGTAGTATAAGTTACTAATTAAAATATAATTATCAACTCTTTGTGCGGCGACTAAGTAAGTGGGAGTATAAATTAACATAATTATACTTACAACATGATGAAGAATACATTTTTAAAATATGCACCTAATAATAATAATAATATTATTATTATTTATTTACTTTTGTATTACAATTTTAATAATTATAATCAACTGCAGTAGGTATTCACAGACACATGATAAACAAAAGCAAATACTATATTATATTCTAAATAATTTAAACATTTACTTACTTTAAAATACAATATGCCTCTTTTAATAGTATCGATAAGTTGACGATTTGTGTCACTCTCTTCAAGTCCAACCAAACCAAGTAATGAAAATCCTAATATTATTGATTTTCCTGCATTTTTATGATTTGGCCAAATTGTTCTTGCAGAAGTTAAACAACTTCGTTTTGAATTAAGAAGCGCTATTGATCGTTGATTATTATTGGTCGAAATATGTTTGACAAGAGGAAAAATTATTTTTACGCATTTAGCTCGTCTCGCATTGAACAAAAGAGACATAATTAATGTAGTATTTTTTTTAAATAAAATATTTAAAATATACGTTATGTATTATTTAAAAGGTACTTCTTTTTTATGATTTATTTCTGATAAATATACTAAAAAACTGTGTACACGACGTCAAAGATTACTGTCAGGGGAAATACTGCTCCGTAAATTGTAACAACTATCAAGCGATGTCATAAACACAGTGGCCAGGGTTCGGATCAATACTTGAATAACGCCTAGTGGTGACGTTGTGTGTGTAAACTGTTGAATGTAGTTGTTGTCTGTTGAGTTTAAGCCAATCGCAAGTGACCACAACTTTCAACAGGAGACATTAGATCTGCGCAAGCTTTAAGCCACGAGTGGATCGATACCAAAATTCTGAATTCAGTGACCAATCAGAAACATTTCTGTATCGATAGTCTCTAACCAATAACCACCTGCACATAAGAGCATTTTTAAATATCGAAATTCGTCATATCAGATTATAATTTATTGTTTTTAATGTTTGTTGTTGATACCTAGCTCATGACAAAATAGAATACGGATCTACAAAATCTATTTTGTGATGATTCGGCTGAGTTATGCAGAAAAGTGTCTTTAAAAAAACATATTTATTCCAACTCCAAATGGTTGTATAATTATTTTTTTAGAATTTTCAGTCTACATTATGATAAACCACTGCCATAAATGTACCTATATCAAAATTTCTAAACGGTCCGATTGTAGTCATTGGTTATGGTTTTCAATCATTTTGTGCTTTCTCTTTTTCAGTTTGCACAGTCCATAATATATTAATATGTCTACAGCCTTGTTTTGGAAATTGGTCTATATAGTTGTAGACTGTAGTGTGACTGCACTATACGCGCTCTTTTTCTCTTGGCTTAAGTTTATTTAATTCTTGTCTATGACTGACACACAAATTGTATGTATATGTATTATGCTATTGAGACCTATGGCGGCGAACAACATGTTCTTTAATAAAGTAAATTATAATGTTAACCTAAGTGTTCGTATTTGATTGCATTATACAAATACCCAAAACATTACAATAGTATAAATTACTTCAATCATTAGAAGATAATATATTAAGTAAAGAGTCATTTAAATAAAAGTTCCCTTTTTTTATAATATTGTTCATGGCTATTGGAGAATTTACATTATACTAATTATATGTATACTGAAAACAAACTGTAAAATGGGTATATTTCTATTTTACGGGACAACTTTTTTTTGCAATCTTTTTTGTTTTATAAACTTATCTAATAAGGACACCGAAATCGATGGTTAAGTCAGAATTTGGTATTCGGAAATAGTTTTGAGTTATGACAATGTTCAAAGTTAGTACTTATATAATATGTTAAACAACTCAAATTTCACAATTGCCTGCGAGCCAACGTGGGCCAGTGGTAGTACGTATGCAATATACATCTCTATGGCAGATGACCCAAATTCAAAACCCCGGGTCATGTTATCGAATTTTTTTGCAGTTTTGCCAATGCTGCCGCTGGTTACCCGAGGTGGTCTTACAAAACATTAAAACAAGTCGATGGATGTTTTCTATTATAATTGTCTGATCGAGCACAACGAGCAAATGATCACTCTGATGCCTCGCAATGTATGAGCTTTTTAGCATAAAAAAGACTAATCATCAGAAAAAATGGTGTTACAAGTTATTTGGAAAACAAATGTCTGAAAAATTCGCTTGGGAGCTAAAATAGAATACCTCATATTGTTGAAATCATAGTTTTCCAAATAAAGTGCAAAAAATAATTTTTTACTAGGGACTAACGTTGTTTACCAGGTTGAAATCAACGCAAGGTACCTCTCCGCAATATTTAAAGATTTAAATTTTTTTAAATGTTAAATTATTTTAGCTATGGCAGCATGGCTATATTAAATTATTTGTTGAAAATCCTATGTAAAAAAAAATGATAACCTACTTCAAGAGATATTAAGACATGTGTGCCGTCATTGGGTCCGGCTCATCTTAATTCCCTATCATACACGTGTAAAAGTTCCTCGCTTCACACGACGATTTACGAATATAAATTTTTTTTTTTAAATTAGCTTACGTAGAATTGTAGAAATGAGTGATTTTATGTGTTTAAGACGATAAAAGTATTAGAAATTCAATATGACGTTTAGTTTTTTAAAAATTAATAAATCTGTAAAGTAATATTTTTGTAAAACGGCGAGTCATGACCATTTAAATATAAAATAAAATATCAAATATATCTCTTTTAAGATTTTTAATATTTAAATAACTAAATTTTATATGGAAATTCTGATACTTATATCGTCTTAGACACATAAAACCAATTTTAAATTTCAAATATAAAATTTTTAGTTTGGTAAATAGTTGTGTAAGGCGAGGAACTTTTAAACGTATAAGGTAGGCAATTACGATGAGCCGGTGTAACAGTCGATTTTAACCCTCAGATAATCTTACCCTAAATTAATCTATAGTATGTTTTTACCAGGGGTTAAATAAACTTAGGATATTTATATCTCCAGTAAAATTTTAAGAGATTTATTTTCGAACTGGAGCTAACTATGATATTGTAGTATTATACTAGTCTGTAACTATATCCTAGTATATTTATAGTTTATACCTAGTATATTTTTACCGGGGGGGGATGTAAATATATAATAGTATATTTTTAGTGGGGGTAAAATTAACCTAGGATAGATTTACTGGAGGAAGTTAAAAATTATTGATAGTAATGGAATTCAATGAAATCGTGCCCAATGACGTCATGCTTCTTTTTCAATTGCCCATAACTTATTGAATAATGTGAGTAGAAGCGTAAAACATATACCATTATTCTTAGAATTGAACATTCTTCAAATCAAAAAAACTTTTTTTTTGTGTTCTATACTCCTTTAAATCAATGTAGATTAGCATATGAGTATTTAAGGTTTATAATATAAACTAAAAACTTCCATTAGCTATAACTTCGAAATTAACTTCTTGCACCAAATTCTGATTTCACCAATATTTTTTTCACAAAAAAAAAGAAAAAGTCCCCCTAAAAAGCCTTTTAGGATGTCCCGTAAATTAGAAAAGTTCCGAATTTCTTCTTCAAACAATAATTGCTTGTATTTTTCATCGATAACGAACACTAACATAGTCTGAAAAATGAGATCCAACTTAAACTAAATTAAAATCCCTTACAGTATTTCGTTAATTTCTCCTTGAGACTGTTAAGTGGTGATATCATAAATATTATACAATAATTCTAATATCGTCTAAAATTTTAGAAAATCTAACTCCTGAGATTCTTCCCACAACAAAAATAAATAATTTAAAGCAAAAAGTTTCAACTTCAAGCTATCATTGTTTAGGCTCTACACTCTACAGTGAGTCAGTGAGTCGTTTGATAATTTGTTTATTCGAGGCCATAAGATTGATAATTTGAATTTTGATGCATACTTTTACCTCATCTACCCTAATGGTAACCATTTATCCAAAACAAATTATTATTTCTACTAAACAATATTTAGAATTATTACATATAACCAATGTCAACTATTATCGGCCACAAATAGCAGACATCAATAAGAACCATTAAACCATATTGTGTGCTCTCTACAATCATTTCACCAAACCAACCTGATCCTAGAAAACACCCCGATACCTATATCTAATCTTTTTTTTTAAAAATCTAATCTAATTAGATCTTATAATCTAATTTTTTTTTTTTTAACCAACTTGTACAACAAAATATGATTCACTATCATGTTAAGTATGTTTCATAATATTTTAATGTACTATATTATTTAATAATTTAAGTCTCCGTTAGACCAATTGCTAGAGTTTGGTGGTTTTATTTGTATAGTAAAAAAAATATCTACATAAATGTATAGTTCATTAATTGGTGTATCTTTTGAGTTTATCTTTTTGAGTTGTTGCAAGAAGTACTTTAATATAAAATAAAATAATGTGATACATCTTTTTTTACAAAATCTTTGAATGAAAATGATAAATTTACATTAATTTGTGAAAATAGTTATATATATTTTCTTTCTGTAATGTACGAGTGTACCCAGAATAATGAAATCGGTGTCAACTTCGAAAAAATTATAGAAACAAAATAAATATGATTCCAATAATAATATTAAAAAAATAAGTAGGAACCTTTAATTAATAAGTATTAAACATATTTAAGGTATGTGGTTAATTATAAGCTAAAAATGCGAAGTCGAGATTTTTTCGTGGGAGGGTGAGGGGCGTCAAATATTGTTGCCCTAGGGCGTTATTGGTGGTTAGAGCGGCACTGGGGGGGGGGGTAGAGGGTGGCGGAAATATGTTGCCCCGGGTAGCAAATTTTCCAAATACGGCCCTGCTCTTGGGCAAATACTATGAAAAACGTTTCGTAACGTTCTAACAAGTAACACATTTTAGACACATACTTTTATCCAGTTTAGCTATTAATCTTTCAACAGGTAACCTTCAGCATATTATGAGTAGTATTTCAGTATGAGGTATCTAAGCAACGATTAGGATAAGATAAATTAAATTGTATTTTGGGTACCTATTTTTTTATGGCGATGAAATATCATGTAACAAAATTGAAAATATACCAGAAAGGCATAAAACATTAATATTTTTCTCGATTTTGTAATTTATTGAAATATTTTTACTTTATTTATTTATTTATGTATATCAACGCCTCAAGGGCATACTACAGAACAGATTATATCAATAGAAAAATCATTGGAGTACAAGGAATACAAATATGCAATAATATGCATTTCATTAAAAATATGAAAAAAAAATATACCACCATTTATTTATAGGTACCAAAGTCCAAAACATGAGCTAATGTGGACATAACTGAAAAAATCAGTAATCACAAGTTTTACAAAAAACATACCAATGCATATAAATCCTAGCCTACTAGGTAGGTACTTACATAGGCCCACCCAAAATTGTCAAGAACAATAATTTTAATTTTCAAGATTGGCATTCAAGTTGTTATTCTAGATAACACGTCACGGTCACACGTGTA